GAAATTTCTTGGAAGGATAAAGCAAGTGCCCTGGGTAGAGGTGGGTAGTCTCCAAAAGGTTTATTTCCTTTCTGAAACAGAAGCATCTCCAGGTTTGGCTTTCAGTTTCTGCTCCCTGACTATTCCCTGGGCACTTAGTGGTCCTCCGGTGGTGCCCCCTCTATTTCAAGAGCCCCCAAAATTAAGCCTGGTGACTACAGATGAGTTTTTGGTACTTTCCAAAATTAAACTATTTCCCTTGGTAAATTTCCAGCAAGTGAACTCACTGATCTGAAAACAGGATGTGGCACACGAAGTGTGAGGTCAGGACGCCTGCTCTTTTCTCTTTACCCTGGGGCAGAGAGGAAGAGGGTGGGACAGAGGTGGGACTAGAGAATGGCTCTTACAGGGTCCAGGGCCTTGAGAAATGTCACTTCATCATGTGCACTCACAGAATCCTTGACCTTTAGAATTGAAAGGCCCTAGTGAGGCTGAGTGGCATATGCCAGTGAAGCCCAGGCCTAGGCCAGAGGGTCGCCAATTCTAAACCACCCTGAACCATAGGTAAAGACCCTGTCCAAAAAAAAACAAAACAAAACCAAAAGGAGAAGAATGGAAAACCTCAGAGACCACGTCTAACCATGCTTACACAGATCACAGAGATTGTGTTTTGGGAGGCAAAAGTCTTCATTTCGCCAGCCAGCCAGATGCCCAGCCTAGTGCTGCAGTACCACCTGACTCCTAGAAACCCAAAGCCAGAGTGGGCCTACTGTGGGGGAAGACAAACACACCTCCATGTCCAAAACAAAACCCAGCAGCCTGTGCCTGTAATATATTTGCACCAGGGACGCTAAGGCAGGAGGATGGCTTAAAGTTTGGAGTCAGCAGGGCTATACAGCAAGTCCTTGTCTCAAATAAATACATAATAAATAAATGAATGAACAAGTCGATCCAGTTAGACGTCAAGTAAAGTTTTAAGCAGCTCGAACCAAATTAACCAGATGGAGACTAACTAGCCATCAGAACCCGGGCTATCAGACATTTGAGTGCAGAAGGCACCCCTGTGAGATTGCTGGCTCGAAAAAAATACAAGTTGAGTTTTTTGTTTGTTTGGTTTGGTTTTACCTTTTAAACTAAACTTGAATCCTGACATTGTTGGGTCCCAGAGGTGTGCAAAATAATAGGGAATAGACCGTCAAAGTCTAGGAACCAGGAACCAGAAACAAAAAAGCTTCCAGCGCACTGGTCAGAGTTTGCACTTCTGACACTGAGACCACGGAAGCAGGTTTTGAGCTTCTTCTTATAGTAAAATCATGTGCCAGGTGTGGGTCAAAGAGCTTTTACAACCTTGAGGTCAGGCTTAAAGTCATGGTTCAGACTTGGTGCTTTTCCGCTGGAGTTCAAGGATGTGTGTGTGCCCCTGCATGTGTTGTACTGAGTACCTCATCAGTGCAATCACTGCAGGACTGATTCAGCTAGCACCCGAGACCCCAACAAATACAGTCTGGGTCTCAGTTTCCACATGAGAGGAGCTCTCATCCCGCCCCAGTCCAGCCTCAGAAACCAGCCCAGCCCAGCCCCACCTGCTCACCCAGACACTGCTTCCCTCAGCTTCTGCTGACTAGCCGAGTTCTCAGCACAGAGGACGCTCTCGCTCCCGCCCTCCGGGTGAGAGAGAAGGTGGAGGCGTGCAGGTTGGTAGCTCAACACCCACAGATGCCCAAATGCGAGCATCTGAACCAGACACAAGATGCGCTGCAAAATCTGACAGTGTCCTAGGCCCCTTGCCCTTCCCGAGCGATGCCCTGGTCCGGTTACTGTCACCCAAGCTCTGCTCTGAACTCTGGTCTCATCCTGACATGGATGTGGCAGGTCAACAGTTACCTGTCAGAAGAGGGTCGAGAGGGCAGGGCGCCACAGGCAGGCACCTGACAGTATGCCCAGGCTATGGGCGGTAGGTGAACCATGGGATCCTAATCTGGACCCTATCACTGAGATGTTCCAGGGGAAGTGGGTATGGCCCAGGTGCGCTTCCAATGACCAGGAGTCTGGCATACGGCTACTCGGAGCATGGATATTCCCTATTCTGGGAGCAGTGGAGATGGGGCCAAAGTGGGTGGAGGTGGGAAAGAGACCCATGAAGAACCACCGTGGTGCAAGGTCAACTCTGAAGAGCCTGAGTGAGAGAAGGAAGGTGCTGGCATGAAAGGGCCCTGTGGCCACTTCTGATAGGACAGGACAGAAACTAAGGCAGGCCCAGAGCATTTGACAGGGTGTGAGCCTGTAACAGGACTGAGTAGGTCCCCTGGAATTTCAGCAGCTGTGTGGACAGTCCTCTGAAAATTTCACTGCGGAGTGAAGAGAGAGTAGATATGGAAAACGAATTTGGGATAAGGGCCAAGCTCATTTAAAGTGCAGATCTGTCCTTCCTGGCTCACTAGCGATGGGGTCTTTAAGCAAGGCACTCAACTTACCTGTGCCCTGGGTCCCTCTGCTATAAAGTAGGGGGCCTCAAAGATTGAAAGGAAATGCTGATGAGATGTTTGTAAAAGTACTTAAAACAAGGCTGGAAATGTGGCTCAGTAGGCAAGAACTTGTGCCAGGCCTTGGATTTGATCCCAGTACAAAGAAAAACAAACTACTTAACACATAACATTAAACAGTGGTGCCTGTTATCTTACTCTACAGCCAGCCCTATAGAGGTCTGCTGATGCTGGTGGGAAGTCGCTGGTAGATGGGGACTCAGTGAAGGGGGAGGGAGCAAGACAAGAGAAAAGTAGCCAGAAGCTAGATAGATGGAGCAACAAGCTGGGCGCCTACCTTGTGTCACAACAGGAGAAAAGGGGGACATGTGGAGGTAAAGGGTTGTGGCTCGGGCTGAGCCAGTAAGCAAATGCCTTTCCGAGAGTGGGGAAATAGGCTCAAGGCCATTAGCTGAGCAGGCTGGGCAGGGCTCAGTTGAGAACAGAAGCCTAGTGCCAATGGCCACTAGATGTTCTGGTATCATCCTGAGGGTGGTGGACAGTTGAGTTTATCTAGAGCAGTAGTTTTCAACCTGTGGGTCATGACCCCTTTGGGGGTGGAATATCAGATATATCCTGCACATCAAATATCCACGTTATGATTCATAACAGTACCAAAATTACAGTTATGAAAATAATGTTATGGTTGAGGGTCACCACAATATAAGGAACTGTAGTAAAGGGTTGCAGCATTAGGAAGGGTGAGAGCCACTGATCACAGAATATAAGCTTCCCTCCCCACCTGGGAGGCTCAAGGAAGTTGAAAGATGCAAAAACACCATGTGAGTGTAATTTGACATTTTAAACTCCTTTCCTTGCTGTAAGGAACAATAATAAGGGCACAGTGGTTACCTGAGGAAAGTATCAAAAGTTTTTGGAGCATGTCATACTTTCACCTACTTGATGGTTAGCTATAATTGTCGCTTGACATGGCCTGGGAAGAGGTCGTGAGAGGCTGTCTACACTGGGTTGGCCTGTGGGCATGCAGTGGGAGACTGTGAGTGCCACCATTCCCTATGCGGGGACCCTGAACTGTATAAGGGTGGAGAAACTAGCTGCATACCAGCAAAAGCACAGCATCGGGAAGTTAGTTGGCTTTGGTCCCTGACTGTGGATGTGATTTGACCAGCTGTTTCAGGTCTTGCCTCAACCCTCCCCCCACCCCCCACTAATGATGGACTTTAACCTGGAATTGTAAGCCAAATAAATATCCCCTCATGATGCTTTTTGCCAGGATGTTTTATCACAGCAAGAGTATTGAAACTAGAACACCCATCATCTCATTTGACCATCTTGGCAATTGTGTAAAATACACGTTTTTATCTCCCATTTTACGGAAACAGAGCTGACTGTGTGGTGAGTTGGCACAGTGGTGCATGCTGGCACTTAGTGGCACAGGCCTTTAATCCCAACACTCTGGAGGCAGAGGCAAGCATATCTCCGTGAGTTTAAGGCCAACCTGGTCTACAGAGTGAGTTCTAAGCCAGCCAGGGCTGCATAGTGAGACCCTGTCTCAAAATAAATACACATTAAAAAGACCTCATGGTGGATCTAGGATCCCATTTCAGACTTGTCTGAGATCAGGGCCTGAGGTTTAAAAGCAACATGTACATCTACAAATTCTATGGCAGTAGTGTTGGGCAGAAAGGTATATGGAGGCCATCTTTTTCATTTGGCAGTCTGAGACAAGCTAGATGCTCTGAGATTTACCACACTGCCTTATTCTTACCTTGTCCATGGTGGAACAGCACATAACCTGGTTCCACTCCCACTGCTCAAGCTCAGGCTGTGTGTCTTTGAGCCTCCTGCCTTGCTGTAGCCCTGTACAGGGCTACAGAAGGATTGTAAGGATCAGAGGTAAACCTCTGCCAGCACACAATGGCTGACCAGAGCTCTGTGTTTCCATGCTCACCTTTCATGCATACATGGGTCTATAGTCTGCTTGGTGGCTGAGAGCAAATCCCCACGAGCCTGGGCTTCTTCAGTGCTTTGTTCTCAACAGGGACGTGGGGACCTCTGACCAGATGCACAACCACTATGACTGCCTGAGTAGGGCTTAGGAAGAGGGCATGGCAGCATCTGTGACCCCAAGGTCTTGGACTTCAAGGGAGGGGCAGGCCTGTCCTTTTGTCACCATCCTGACTGATGCACAATGTACAGGCAGGTTGGGGCCATCAGAAGCCTTCCTGCTGCCTCTGGTTGCCTCAGTCATAAGCTCTAGAGACTACTTGTTGCAGTTGATTTTTTCAAGACAGAGTAACTGAGACAGTGTAGGAAAGTGGCATTTATCCAAGGCCACCCAGTCACCCTGGAGGTCCCAGAACTTGAACTTTGGACCTGCTTTCAGGACCCTTGGGTTTCCATCAGAAAGCTAAGCCCTCACTGTCACCACCCACTGTTACAGAGAATTCTAAGTGGCTCAGACGTGGGGAGGGGGCAAGACGAGTGGCCAACCGTGGCCTCTCCACCAAGGTGCTCTGGGGAGGAGATAGAGGAAGCCAACAGCAGCCTGTGGTTCTCAGGCAGGGGAACCGTGACTCTGAAGAACCGAAGCATTGCTCTCTTCCTATGACTGTCTCTTGCTTTTTCTCACTTTGAAAAATGTCTGGACACTCCTAAAAGTTTTCAGTCTCTGTCCAGGGGCTTTTTCTAACCACAAAGGGTAATTCCTACCCCATCCCTGCTGTGACTCAGCTGTGACGTCTACTGCACAGCCAGAGAGGAGATAAAGTCACAGAAAGGACACCTCTCTCTACAGACTCCACAAGGCTGGCCCTCTGCTCTACTTGACAGACCTTCTCTGGCCACCTGAAACTTCAAGATGGCCTCCAGCTCAGCCAGCGGCCCCCGCCCAGCCCCTGATGAAAATGAGTTTCCATTTGGTTGCCCCCCTGCTGCCTGCCAGGACCCAACAGAGCCCAGGGCTCTCTGCTGCTCCGCCTGTCTCTCTGAGAAGCTGAGGTGAGGGGCCAAAGGGCCAAGGGCCAATGGGAAGCATTGCTAGGGAGGGCCCTTTAAGGGGAGGGGGGCTGGAGAGACAGCTGGCTGTTAGCAGGGCAACTTCACTTCTCTGAGCCTCTCTCTATTTCCACTCTTTTCTCCCAGACACTACCTCCTGGCTGGGGGCTGATGGATCCGTCTGTCCATCATTACTGAGGTAGAACTTTAAGCACCACTCAGCCACTTCCTGCTGTGTAGCCTGGTTTGACACTCAGGTGTCTCAAAGCCCCAACTTCTTGCCCTAGAGCTGCCTTCTGCCTCACAGACTTGTTACAAGGCTCCATCAGAAATATTTCCCAAACTTCTTACAATAGTGAACGTAGCCCCCTTGGCAAATACCAAACTATGATAAAAATGCTATTTCATTTGATTAAACTGGTTGATGGGTCAAAGAAGCAGTAGGGTGTGTATTTACACTTGAAGCACAGCCATCTGAGAGACACTCCATCAATAGCAGCGGTAACACCCCACCTAAGCCATTGCTGTGCACAAGGACTCCGTCCCTGTGTCCTCAGATAGCTCACTCTGCAGACAAAACTGCAGAGCCCCCAGAGACAGGCCTCCTGTCTACTGTGAGTTTCCTGGTAACGACACTCATAAACGGCCTTTGGACCACGCGCATGACCTTTTCTTTGGGACCTGGTAGCTTGAGACTGTGGGGAAACTGAATCGGTCAAATGAGAAGTTCAAATTCTGTGACTAAGCGGTAGGCTGCAAGAACAGGGTGGGAGGTTGTAGCAGTGTGGCTGGATGCCACAAATGACCAGGCTTCCCAGCCAGCTGATGCTCTGAGCTCATGCGCCCCGCCCCCAAACCTGGCAGAGGAGGGAGCAAAAGCTGACTTCATACATGGTACTGAGAACAGATGGGAGTTCCATGCCCATAATCCCTTGCCTAGACCCTCGAGATTAGAAGTATTGGGGTTCAGAATTTCTGCAAGTCAGTGCATGGTATAATTCTTCCAGTGGAGACTCTGTAGCCAGGCACGTGGATGGGCATTTCTACAGTGAGACATCCATAACCACACTACGTGGGTGAGGGAAGGCCCAGTAGGACCAGGCAGGCAGGGCTGCAGAAGCAACTCACTCCTAGCTACAGGAGGCAGTGGAGGCTTTGACAATGGGTCGCCAGGGCCACAGAATTACTGCTGGAGGCAAGGTCTGGGCTTTGATGTCTGTCAGGAAGGTGTCAAGTGACAGAAGACAGGTGCCAGCAAGGTGTGGTACCTTCCTTATTTGAGAATCTTGTTCATGTTTCCTCAGAGATGGTGAGGATCGGATCTGTTCCACGTGCAGAGCAGACACCCTCCAACCTGTGAGCCCAGGAAGCCTTCTGACTCAGGAGAAGGTACGTTAGCATAGACAGGGAAGATGATCTGGCCATCTCTGGGGACTGACGAGACAGATGGCCCAGTCTATGAGGACCTGAGTTTGGTCACTGGAACCCATGTAATAAATGCTGTATGTGATGACACCTGCAATGCCAGTGCTGAAGAGGAAACACATGGACTTCTGGGACTCACTGGCCAGCTAGCCTATCCCACACAGTGAGTCCCTAGCTAGCCAGAGACCTTGTCTCCAAAAGAGGGGGGAGAATGGTGGGTGGCAGGCATCTGAGAAACTACACCTGAGGTTGTCCTTTGGCCTCCACAAAGAGCAGGAAGGGGGGAAGGGGAGGGAGGGAGAGAGAGACTTGTCCAGGTATAGACAAAGTGGGCAGTTGCCCATGTGGCCTCTGATGTGCAGGTGTATCTCTGCTTTGTCTTTAGGCTACAGTGAATTCACTTCCCAGCAAGGCAGAGACATACAGGTGTTCACAGTGATGGCAGCACATTGCCCTAAGCCACCTGGCAGCCTCTAGTCCATTTAGAATTGAAACCACCTTCTAGACTAGGGGTCCACAAACTGGAACCCGTTTTTAAGTGATGGAAGAAATTGTATTTGGGAACTTATAAAGACTCTGTAACTGCAAACTCTATGTCCATAAATAAAGTGTTGCTACTATCTAGCCACCGTCATCCTCACATATCTGTGGCTGATTTCTCCCTACAGTGGTAGAGTTGAGCATGCTAAACAGAAATTTTAAGGTCCCAAAATATACTCTCCAGCCCCTTACTTGAGAAATTCAGTCAGTGCCTGATACAGAGAGAGGCCAGTTTTAGCTGACATCTTGTGTGAACCAAGCTGTGTGTCCAGGAGTAAGAGACGCCTTTGGAAGTTTGGAAGGGGCCAGAGAGACATGCTTATGCAACAGCCTTCACATCTGGTCCATCCCTCCCCACCAAGATGAAAGGTTCAGAGGGTACCTGTGTAGCCCAGAGGTTTCCAGCTCTCACTCATGATGAAATGATAAAACTATAGAAATGTATTTAGTGTTACAAGCTACATTGTCTCCATTTAAAGAGTCGATCTTTATTCTGAGACTGTTTCCTCCTTTATGTCTTTGTGAAATGGCATGAAGGTAAATAAGAATTTGGGGCAAACCTTTTACCAGCTATAGAACAAGGACAGCATCTTTATATGAATCTCACAATTAAGATCCCAAACAAAAGCAAAAGTTTAAACATGTCGGAGTCACTGTGTAAAAACCTGACCTCTTGGAAAACTGTGAGGAAAACATACTGGAATCTCTGCTTGGTCACCCTCTCTGTCCCCAACGTGAGACAAATGAAGCTGCTTTCAGTCAAAGCTCCCTTCAGCAGTGAAGAGTGGCCCATGGATCCAGACCTTTGTGTGTAGACATGGGTTTATGTCCCTCACTCCCGCATGGCTGGAGGCAAGCCTGTTTCCACAATGTTTCTCCCTTGGTAAAATGAAGATGCTAAGTTGTTACTAGAAGGCTCTTCCCAGGATCTATGACATCTGAGTCACAGGTCAACAGCTGCCAAGGTACCCCTCCCTCTCTCCCTCCTTCCCTCCCTCCAGTCCAGATGCAGAAGGTGCTTCACACCTGCCCCTCCTTTGCACCAGTCCCTGTCATTCAGAAAATGTAGGGACTTCCTGCCCTGCCCAGAGCTGATTGAAGAGCTTTCCCTTCCACCTTTCAGCAGCCTCCCCTTCCCATGAGCCCTTAGAGAATAATCATGAGGATCAAGTTAATTTCTGTGGAAGAATTGCTGTGCCTCATTGTCTGGCTGTCTCTGGACCAGCTTCCACATGGGAGCAGACAGACACCTTACTGTGGCCTCTGTGCCTCACATGTGCAGCACAGGAAATGAGCTTTGTGCTTTCCAAGCCTTGTTTTGTTCTTTTCTCTTAGCAAAATTAAAACATGCCACTTATATAAATGTTAGGTAACATGGGACAGATATACTTTAATGTCACTTAATCTAGCATCTTTAGGGTTTTTTCATCTTTATCAAGATAAAACCCAATACAAACAGAAGGCTTGGGTGGAAGAAAATGCCTGAAGCCGAGTAAGTGACATGTATAGTAGTAAGGCCTTTATTTCTAGCTTTAAGTGGCGTGTATAGCAAGGCCTTCGTGTTTGGCTTTGAGAAAAATGTTTCAGCAAAGCCTTTGCTATGTTTGGGTTAATCAGTCAAGGCTGAGAAACTGTTTTGAGACAGTTTTAAACCTTGAAGACTTGTTTCTCTGGAGAGTCTGCACTTGGTGATATGTGAGAGTTTGCAGCTGCACCAATCCTGATCCTAAAATGCTCCTGGCAGACCTGGAGTTGTTACTTTTGATTATGGCTGCCATGATCAAAAGGGACTGGGATTTGTGTGGGTTGTCTGCCCTCACAGGCAGCAAAAGCAAGATGGCTTTGATAGTTGGCACCTTTCCCAACCCCTATTAACCTTGTATATGTTTGAATAGAGTAAGTAGAGTGAGCCAGCTGGGTGTCAGTCCTTGTCACGAGGGCTGAACCCCTCTTCTCCTTCAGAAGATGAAGATGGCATCTTTGAGGGTTTTTCTCTCTCTACTGTGGTACCTATGACCCAACATCAAACAATATTATCCCATTTTTTTTTCTCCTGTCCCAGCTTCGAGGGATTTCAAGGGCTCAGCAAGAGCACAGGTTGAAATTTGCTGCCTTAATACAAACAAAATAAGGGGCTCAATGGCTAAGCACATTGCCTGCATAGGCCACCAGATAGTTACACAGGGACTTCTCTGATCATGCCCCTGATGGGGACTTTAGGGGACTTTTAACCTAAGGAAAGTGACTAAGCCAGGCCTTTGCATGTGGCAACTCCAAACTTTTTGTCTGCATGTCTGAGGACACCTAGAAGACAAAATCTGAGCACGGAGGCCAAGCTGGAGAGCAACTGAGTTCAGCCCAAGATGCCCATCCCACAAACTCTCCCCCTGCCAATGGCTATCGGTCTGTCTTCCCCTGAGTCTACAATAGCTTACCATCTCCTCGTGTAGGGCCCCCAAGCATCAGCTACATGGCAAGCAAATATTAGAAGATCAATGATAACACAGAGAGGCCATCTTGCCTGGAACTACCTTCCTGCACAATCGATAGTACGGTAAAAGAAAACCAGGGGCTGGGGGCTGGAGAAGATCCGGGCAGATAAGAGTTCCTGCTGTGTAAGCATGAGGACCCATGTTCAAATCCCCAGAACCCCTGTTAGGGGGAGCTGGGCTTGGTCACGCATACTTGTAACACCAGCCATGTGAAGAGTGGAGACAGAAGGGTCAAAAAAAAGTTCTCATAAAATCAATCTATCATTTACATGTAGAAAAAAATGTGCTCATTTTAAGTGTACAATTTGATAAAGTCCTGGTTAATGTACAAAATCAGATGACTCCCCACTGCCAAAATGGCAAATTCTCCTGTCCCACAACAAACTGGTCATTCCTGGCACATGCAGCCCAGTCCATACTGATAACAGGCATTGTGTCGATTGCCTGTCAGTATCATCTTGCCTCCCCTAAACTTGCTTCAGAAGGACATCCTGGAGTCCATATCACCAACTGAGCTACATTCCCAGCCCTATGGAAGTATTTTACAAAAAGCCAAGCTCTACTTACTTAAGTCAGTTGCTTATAACTTATAACCAACCTACAGATATCCCACGTATTCTACTCCCAGGAATTTATTCAACAGAAACAGAAAGTTATGTCTACACAGAGATGTGTATGCCCACAAGGCCCAGGGTTCAGGCCCCTGTATCTCATAAACCAAGATTTGTGACACATGATTACCCAGCACTTAGGAAATGGAGGCAGGAAGATCAGAAGTTTAAGACTGGCTAGGTATAATGGTATGTGACGTTAGTCCCAACACTTGGGAGACAATACATTTTAACATCTGACTTCTTTCATTTAACATAATGGCTTCAAGGTCTCTCCATGTTAGAGTGGATGTTAGTATTAATTCCATTTGATGACCGAGTAGATAGAGTTCTGTAGGAGGAAGATACTATTCGTGATCCATTCACCCTGACTATCCCCAGATGTTTTCCAGATTAGGGTTGTTGAGAATTGAGCTGCTGTGTGTTTCAGGGAGTGGAATACTTGGGTTATCTGTAGATCTATTATAAGTTATAAGAAAGTAGTAGGGTTGGCTTTTTGCAAAATATTCCCATAGGGCTAGGAATGTAGCCCAGTTGGCAGAATGCTTATGTGGCATACAAAGCGTGGACTCCCCTGTATCTCAGAAACCAAGATTTGTGACACATGGTTATACTCAGCACTCAGGAAATGGAGGCAGGAGGATCAGACGCTCAAGGCTGGCTGGGTGTGATGGTGCACGCCTTTAGTCCTTGCACTTGGGAGACAGAGGCAAGAAGATTTCTGTGAGTTTGGGGGCTAGCCTCTTCTACATAGTAAGTTCCAGGCAGCCATAGCTACATAATTAACTAAATTACTACTGTAAGTTTTCCAAGGTATCTATACTATTTTACTTGTGTAGCCCTATGTCTTTGCTTGGCCTTGTCACTCTATCCCAGCTACTCTGACAATGGGGAGCATTGTTTTTCATTGCAGTCGCAGGTACACTCTGCCTTCATAGAGCTCTTTTTGTGAAGTATCTTTTCAGCATCTGAAGCTAAAGAGTGAGGGCTACTTCTAGAGCTGTGTGGACTCTACCCTGACAGAAAAGTGTTGTTCCAGATGATAGCAGGGCTCTGGTCCTCTTTCTGTAGAACAATTACAGAAGGGCAGAGACTCCAAAGGTGGAACAGTCAGCCAGGAAGAAGGAACAGAGTGAACCAGTCCTGTCCCTGGCCAGTTTTGGCCTTGTTGGCTCCTGTCACTGTGAGGGAGCCCTTGGGGTGGTCCTGGGAGTGCCCCCCAGCATTCAGTGACATAATTATCATTTCCAGGTTCACCCTGACGTACCTGAGGCTGGAGTCATGTGTCCCTTTGCAGGTGTTGGCTGTTCCTTTAAGGTAAATGACTGCATGCCAAATCTGTCCATGGTCCCAGACACCACCACCACCCCTCTCTCCCTCTCCATACCCTCCCAAAACACCAAGCTACTCCTCTAGTGTCTCCTATGCTAATGAGTTACCAAGCAACAAATCCAACTATTTAGTCATTGTTGTACTATAGGAAATTCTTCTTAAAGCCTCCCCTAAACCCTTGTAGCATCATTCAAGTGCCTGTCCCCCACATCCCTCTCCATGGTCCTGAATTGTCATTATGCTCAAGGGCAGGGCAGGAGGGTCACACTAGAGACTAGGACATACTAGCTGCGTGGGGGTGTCTACGGACTGTCTTCCTGCACATGGCTCCACTCCCTGTCCTTCCCCATACAGACAGCCACTTCCCCTTTGCTGGGGTAATGGTCTGGCTCTGCTTGGTGGCCTTTGACGCCGTGCCTCCTTGCTGGTCCCCAGGGTCTCCTTCCACTTCACTGTTCACTAGTGACTCTCACTCTCTCATCAGGGGAGCCCACAATCCATGCAGGAGCATGAGGCCACCTCCCAGGCTTCTCATCTTTACCTGCTGCTGGGGCGCCTAAAAGAGTGGAAATCCATGCCAGGCTCCAACCTGGGATCCACGCCCATAGCACTGGAGCAGAACCTGTCAGAGTTGCAGCTTCAGGCAGCTGTGGAAGTTACTGGAGACCTAGAGGTAGACTGCTACCGGGCACCTTGCTGTGAGAGCCAGGATGAACAGACCCTATGGCACCTCCTGAAAGAGAAGCAGTTGGCTCAGCTAGAGGAGAAGCTGTGTGTGTTTGAGAACATCGTTGCTGTCCTCAACAAGGAGGTAGAGGCATCCCACCTGGCACTGGCCGCCTCCATCCACCAGAGCCAGCTAGACCGAGAGCACATCCTGAGCTTGGAGCAAAGGGTGAGTGAGACGGGTGTGTGTACTCTCTCGGCGTCAGTTCAGGGAGCGCCTATGCCTTCCAGCCTTCTACCCAATCATCCTGCTCAGAGCAGTTGCCCCAATCCTAGCCCTTCTCCTGTGTCCCAGGACCTCCTAGGAAGACCCTGAATCAAAGGTTGGGGGGAAGCCAATACCATGCTATCCAGTGCTTCAGGCCTTCTGTTTAGAATTGGCCCAGAACTCTCCCTCCACAGGCTCCCTCCACTCATGTCATTGTTGGGCGGTTTCCTTGTTACAAAGTTCATGCTTCCATAAAGTTGTGTTTTCCCTGTATTGGTCCTAACTGTGGCCTGTAGGGCCCTCAGAGCAACTGCTTTCTTGTCCCCACAGCTGCTCTCCAGAGCACTCGGTGCTCACACCCTAGCAAACTATCCCTTCAGTGCCCTCTCTGCTCTTGAGAGCATGGAGGGCCATTACACTGTCTATGTTCTACAAGAGCCCACATGCAGAGTGTGGTCCCAGACTGACGAGCCCATAGTTCTGAGTCTACTGCCTCTATTCCAGAGATTACACTTTTCCTAAGGCAGCCAGTCACCAGGCTCCTGGCACTTCTTAAAAACAGCAACATTCTTTCCCCGCCTCCCACTTAGCTGGGCTGCCTTTAGTATCATCCCTACCACACCGGGCCAATTAGGTCTGAGCCAGTCACCTTCTCTCACACAGCTCAAGTTTATTCTTTCAGATTTCTTTGGGGAAACCTACTAGCAGGGCAGGGCAGGCACTGTGCTCAAAAAGCCAGGTGGATCCTCGGTTTATACCATGTACAGCCTCGCCCCAGTAGCAAGGATTCCCATCTCACCATCAGACTTCTGGCTCCGCTCTGACAGCTGGACACTATGCAAGGTGTGGGCATAGAAGAGACAGGAGCCTGCCATAGGGAGACAGCCCCGACAGGAGGAGCCTAACCAGCAAGGACAATGACTGGAGGCTTTACAGGAAGGGATGTGTGAGCTGGGCTCCTACCAAATGACTAGGAGTTGGCCAGGGAAGCAAGAAAAGAAAGGGACTCCAAGCATGGGACAGGCACAGGACTGGGTAACGCTTGCTCAGGAAAGTCTCTGAGGTGATGCATCCCTATGCCCCACTATCGCCACCAGTCTCCCAGTTGGGTGCTGGTACCCCTGGCTGACCAGCCTTCCCTGCAGGTGGTGGAGCTGCAGCAGACCCTGGCTCAAAAAGATCAGGTCCTCGGCAAGCTTGAGCAGAGCCTGCGACTCATGGAGGAGGCCTCCTTTGATGGCACCTTCCTGTGGAAGATCACCAATGTCACCAGACGGTGTCATGAGTCAGTGTGTGGCAGAACTGTCAGCCTCTTCTCTCCAGGTAACTCCTTGTGGGCACAGAGACTGATAGGAGAGACAGGTCCCAGGAGGCCTGGGAGACAAGAAGCCAGAACAGCTATGCTGAGTCAGGCTGGGGCCCCTGACAGTGATGAGGGACACACAGGCTGTACTCTCTGAACCATAGCTCTTACCAATGCAGCTGTTATCCTGTGTCCTTCCTGGATGTCAACCACACTCAGCAAACAGGTGCAGATGGTGGCACTCTCCAGCCTTCGACCTGCAGTAAGAGGCAGAGGACTGAGTCAGGCCAGTCCCCAGGGAGCCATGTGCATGTGGGAAGACCATGGGCATCAGTGAATTGGGTGGTTCTTCCTAGTTTCTGGGTCCCTTGTTGAGACTTAAGAGAGTAGTGACTTGGTAGCTATTGTTATTGGTTAACTGGTAACAAAATGCTCCTCTGTGTGTGTGTGTGTGTGTGTGTGTGTGTGTGTGTGTGTACATATAATATTTACATGCAGCTCTGGGTCTGTTCAAGGCACACCATCTGCCAGGTCCAGGCTATTCCTGGATGTGACATCTGAGAGCCTTGCCAAGAGCTTGTCCTCACAGCCTCATTTTATAGGCAAATAAACTGAAGCCAAGGAGGAGGGGTCCCAAGCAGGGGGACTGCTTAGAGCTAGGCACAGAGCTCTGCCCAAGGATGTACCATCAGGGAGAGAGCCACATAAGCCCCCATGCTTGATCATCGGGGATGACTTGCCTCTTGGGGCCATTCCCAAGGGTTGATAGCAAAACCAAAAAGTGTCCTTTTCACACCAGCCTACAGGGAGGACCCAACCTTTGGGCAGCAGAGAAAATCAATGCCAAGATCTAGAAAGCCTGGGCCTTAACCCTAATTCTGCCCCAGCACATGAAACAATGCCCATCTATCTCCCCTTCCTGGGTTCAGTCTCTAGTTACTTTGAGGGTTGGTTAAAATGGTAGATGCCATGTGTAACTGTGAGACAAGCAGCATGGCATTTAGGGAAGTGCTAAAACTGCAGATGTCAGATCAACCCACTGCCAGGCCAGAACCATCGAGTGGGAGACTTCACTGTGATCTGGGGACTGGCCCCTCAGCTAGGGAACCTCCAAGAACATGGTCTTCCTTGACACTCTCCTGGAGAAGAGAGCTGGGCTCCAAACCCCTGCTGTCCTCATCCTCCCCTCCCGCCTGCTGCACCCCATCTCCTCATCTGCAAAGCCCAGCACTGGCCTATTGCTCTGTGCTCACACTGGCTTTGCCTTTCAGCTTTCTACACAGCCAAGTATGGTTATAAGTTGTGTCTGCGGTTGTACCTGAATGGGGATGGCTCAGGCAAGAAGACCCACCTGTCCCTGTTCATCGTGATCATGAGAGGAGAGTATGATGCTCTCCTGCCCTGGCCGTTCCGGAACAAGGTATGGGCCCAGGAGAAGATGGGTTTAGGGAGGACATGGTAACCTGGGTCCTAGTGCTGGCTTTAGCGACGAACCTGAGACCTGTGAGGCCATAGTCTCCTGTGCTTGCTGTAATCATTTTTCTTGTATAAAAGGAAGCCAAGTGCAAATGCATTGGCCAAAGCTTCCAACCCTCTGAGTGGGATCTAGTGTCTGGTACAGAACACTCTGCGGGGAGAGGGTTTAAAGCCATCCCCAGGAATTCTAGTGCCAGCAAGTTAATGAATGGCTTCAGTAATGAGAAGCAGTGTGTTTCCTGGGGTACATTCAAGGGCTTGTGCCAGGGCACAGCTTGTGTCATGCTTAGGTGATCCACTTCTCAGGGAGGTACATGATCTAGGTAACCACAAGCTCGGTGGAAGTCCCAAGGCTTGGACAGAAGCCCCATCCCCGTCTGCTGTTGCTTCTCTGCCTGGCAGCAGGAGGTCCCAGCAGAAGTTGACACCATGTAGGTGCCCAAAAGCTGCATTCTTGTCTGTGTACCCTAGTCTCAGCAGCCAGTTTAACTATAGCTTCAGAACCCCCACTGCCGTGAGCCTAGGAAGATGGCTTAAATGGTGAGTCCAATTCCCCAAACCCACACAAAATCAGATGTGGGGACCTGCCACCCCAGAACTAGGAAGGAGAAGCTGTGAGGACCCTTGGGGCTTGCTATCCTTAACCAATGGTCTCTACGTCTGAATAAAATAATAATAATTAATCATAATAATAATGTGAGGAGCAATTGAAGAAGACACCTGATGGTGACCTCTGATTTGTGCGCACACACACACACACACACACACACACACACACACACACACACACTTCCCACTCAGTGGGACAATGAAGGACAAACTCCGAACTTTCCATGGTACTAGATGTTTCTTCCACCACCTGGGCCTCTCCCTAGTACAGATGTGAAGTCCCCTCCTCTTCATGTGGAACTGGGTACCTCTAGGCATGAGCCCTCTGACCCCAGACACTAGGCTTCCATGGGAACCAATGTTATCCCCTGAGGCCTGACCTTCCACCTGCCCCTACCCTGCAGGTCACCTTTATGCTACTTGACCAGAACAACCGTGAGCACGCCATTGATGCCTTCAGGCCTGACCTGAGCTCAGCCTCCTTCCAGCGGCCACAGAGCGAGACCAACGTGGCCAGCGGCTGCCCACTCTTCTTCCCCCTCAGCAAGCTGCAGTCACCCAAGCACGCCTACGTAAAAGACGACACAATGTTCCTCAAGTGCATTGTGGACACCAGTGCTTAGGGATAGGAAGTGTCTCCTGAGGGGAACCAACTCAAACTGGGGGATTTAGCTAGATGGGCCTCCAGGCCCTTCCCTTGGAACCCACAGTCCAAGACAAGGATGGGCTGCCGCTGGCATGACCAGAGTGCCATGGCAGCTTGGCTGTGGCTGCTGCGAGAGTAGGAGGACTGGAGCTGTGCCTGCAGAGACAGAGTAGAGAAGAAAAAAGTGCTTTCTTCACACAAACTATACCACACCAGAGACCGTCAGACCAGCAGGCTGGCACACCAGCAGGCCGGCAGGTCCTGAGTATTGAGACCAACTTAAGACTGGCCTGAGGCACAGATGTTGAGCCAAGGCTGTGGGTCCTAAAGCAGAGGTGCACTCCCGCTTGGAAGGTCTCTCTCTGTAGGTCAGTGGAAACTGGAAACATGTCCAGTCTCTCTGTTCAGACTCAGAACTAAGAATTCAGGGCAGAAGGGTCAGACGCTTCCTAGGCTGAGTTTCTATGTTAATAGATAATTCCCGAATCTGTACCAGGAAGGGCTTGTGGGTTGGATTTGAAGACCTTTGAAGTTTTTACAGATGAAACGAACAACAACAAAGGTCTTGAATTCCAAGCTTTCCTGTCCTTGGTGAGGCTATAGCCGCAGAGGATTCTGGAGAAATACCCAGGATCCTCACATCCCTTCCAGATCCCCACTCACCTAAACCTAGTAGCCCAATTTCCCAACAGACAGGAGCACACTCAGGCCAAGTAAAGATCTTGCCATGCCGACTGGGAGCTGGTGTCCAGCACACAGCACCTTTGTGACTGCTTACAGAGAGCCCAGCAAAGGGTGACTGCTACACTGCTAGGGACCACTGTTTCTCCATCCATGCATCTTCCTTCCTTCCCTCCCTCTCTTCTTCCCGTCCCCCACCCCTCTCAGTCTCAGGCAGCCCAGACTGGTTTCAGACTCACTCTAGAGTCAAGGATGATGTTGAATTCCTGATTTCCTTGCCTATAGCTCCCAAGTGCTGGAATACCTACCGGTGTGTGTCCCCTCCCTGGTTCTATGAGGTGCTAAGGACCAGGGCTTCCTGCACAATGGACAGGCGCTCTGCTCAGCTACATCCCCACACCTTTAATGGTGCACTTCTGATGGGAAGAGATGTCCTCACACAGTGTGAGAGGCACCATGCTTCCAGCAAAGCATTATGGGCAGCTGTGTGTCATCTATGTCTAGACCCTCTGGGGGAAATAGTGAGCTATGAAACCCACTCTCCTGGATCTCCTAGTTCGCTGAGAGACCAGACTGATAGTGGAGCATTAGCACTAGAAGTAGAATGATGGGAAAAGACATAGACTCCATTGGACAAATCAGGGAGGGCTTCACAGAAGTGAGCCTTGAGCCAGCCTGAAATGCTTTAAGGTGGAGAAGATCTGGGTGTGCAGGAGAGAACAGACTTGGAGTGATAGAACGTGTCTTGGCTCCAGGCAGGGGCTGAGTGACCAAAGGCTGGAGAAGTCAGAAAAGCTGGACCAGCCAAAACATGGACAGGCCAGCTGGCCAGAACACAGACGAGGTGAAAAGCTGAGCTGCTGAGCACCTGCAGGGCCTTTGGCCTGCTCACAGAGGATGAGACAATGGTTTAAGCAGATCATTCATCTCGCAGAGATGCCCTGCGATTATCTCTTCCGGGTGATTCAGGGGTCAGGGAGCTGCTGGCAAATCCTGTTTCGCTGGATCCTCACGACCCCCACTGAGGTGAACAGGCTTGTACCTATTTACAGACAGGGATGCTAAGGCTGGAGCAACCATAACAGGGAAGCTGGCATTGCAAGCCCCATCTTTGGTGTTCAGTTCCCCTCCCTTGCACCAGGTGTCCCTCCAGTGACCTTGGAGACAGGTCCTTCACCGAGCATGAGGGCCAACTCTACAGGACAATGCCAGCCGCACAGGAAGCAAGAGTTGTCTCTGACAATATTTGCTCAGAGGCCACATTGTCATGTTCACAGGCGACCTGCAGAGAATGATGGGAAGTGGGAACACCTGTGATTTGTGCCTTTAACCTGGAGGTTCTATGTAGACGAGAAACACTCATAGAAAAACTATAAAAGTAGTGGCTGGGCAGAAAGAAAAGTTACCATGATCCCAGAAACTAGAGAGCACCTGCTGCGAATATTTTAGTAAGTGTTCTTGCCTTTTGAAAACAGTACTTTTATAGATGAATAAGCAAACTCAGAGAGGTCAGATCATTTTCTCATAGGCAAACAGGCAATAGGCAGATCTCTGCCTCTATGGTCAGAGGCTTACTGCTCACTGTGGTACCCTCCCTGGGGACTGAGGTGAGTGGCAGGGAATCAAATGGGAAGTGATGTGCCTCCTGGAATAGCTGCCAGCCCTTCGGGCTCCCTCCCCAGTACAGACACCTCTTGCTTGCAGCACTCTGCCTTTGGGGAGGCTTCTTGGGTGGGATACCCCAGTGACCCTGTGCCAGGAGCTGGATTTCATTTGCCTCCACATCTGGGGTATACATGCACACACATGCATGTGTTTAAGCAGAGCACATGCATGCAGCCCAGATGGAATTTATGGAGCACAGCAAAGGGAGGCGGATAGTGCAGTGCTAACATAACTGGCCAGATCCCACCGAAGAACAATAGCAAGATCCAGAGTTGGGCAGTGGCTGGGCCAGGCCTACCAAGTTAGTAGCTTTCCCTCCCCTCTCTGCCTACAGCCCTCAGCCTCCCATAAGCCATGGAGTAGTTGGATCCATTCCCCCAGCAACTGCACTCTTGCAGAATTGGCAAAGCTGTCCCTTCCCTCTCTTCTCTCCTCTCTCATCTACATCTGTCTCCCCCCTCTCTCTGTCTCTGTCTCTTTCTCTCTCGATCTGTTCCTCTCTCCCTGTCCCCCCTCATGTGTGTACTCATACATGTACATGTATATGAAGGTGCTTGTGGAGGGATGCTCATGCATGTGTGGAGACCAGGTCAGCCTTGGGTGTTTTTCCTCAGGTGGTATCACCTTGTTTTTTGATACAGGGTCTCTCACTGTGACCCAGAGCTCACAGATTCAGCTAGACTGGCTAGCAACAAGCCCTGGGAATTCACCTGTCAATTCCTCTGCAGTGTTAGGATTTCAAGTGCGCCAAACATGCCTGATTTTTTATGTAGGTGCTGGGGACTGAAACTGGGTCACACTTGTGCAGCAAGCACTTCACCGACTGAATGATCTTCCCAGGAAGGCCCTTTGCAGAGAGAGGGTTAGGGAAAGAGCTTGGAGGCAGTGAGGGGCCCACTCAGGGAAGCAGCTCCTCCAAAAGGGCCAAGCCACTGTGGGCCTGGGCCTTCTGACCCTGGTACACCCAGGACCCTTCTGGCCACTCTGTACACAAAACTGATCTCACCTCCAAGCACAGTCCCACCTCTGGAGAAGTCCCCAACTTGAGACACAAGCTTCTCCCTGCAGCCACTGTCCTGGGAAGTTCATGCCCCAAACACAGCTTGTAGTGTGCAGGGTGATAAGGACACCTGAGCCTAGGCCCTCAGACCATGTGTATTGGGAATCAGCAGCCTGCTGACCCCCGCCCATTTAGGGTGGGACACTCATGGCCATGTCATCACTATGTCAAGCTTTACCTGGCTGCCAGAGGACTGAATTACACACGCATGCGCAAGCCCCCCTTTTAAAGCAAGAAGGCCAAGCACACCTCTCTCTCTTTCTCTCTGTCTCTCACTGGCCCCCTCTCTCTTGCTCTCTCTCTCTCTCTCTCTCTCTCCTGCTTTCGGTTGGCCACCAGCTACCCCCTTTCTCTCCTCTCTCAATAAACTCCACGTGGGCTCTGAGTCTCATGTTTGTGTTTTATAGGCATTGGCTGCAGCAAAAGAACAAAGTGGCATGCAGTTTCCGTCTGCTGTAGGTTAGGACACATGCTTGATGTCTCTGGGTTCTGCATTTCTGCCAGGTAGATGGTGATAGGCATAGGCCTTGAGTGCCAATCCTATCAGAAGCCTGGTTTTCACTCTGCCTTAGTTTTTCCATCTATTAAATGAGGCTGCTAAGCCCCTTGAGATCTACTGAGCACCACAGATTGCCAGAACTCAGGTCTCCTACTACTACTACTACTACTACTACTACACACACACACACACACACACACACACACACACACACACGTCTCCCTTTGCAGACAGTAATCACTTCACCTTCTGCTGATATCACCCTAATCTGTACAGGTTATCAATTTCCCAGGGAAGACCAGTGTAGTGTTGTGGGGATATAAAATAACTTGCCCCATGGCCCACAGTTAATTTGTGTCTGAGCTTGGGCCTCTGCAGGGATCTGCCTAGCATGGTGGTCACTAATCCCCGTGGGCCTAAAGCAATAAGGCAGGCTGAAGACAGCCCTCCTCGTGCTCAGACATGAGAATGAGTTACCTTAAGCAACAAAATGGATTTTGCTGATGCAATTAAATTGAATATCTTTATTTAAGAGAGTATTTTGGATTACCCAGGGGCCCAAGGTCATCACGAAGGAAATTATAAAAAGAATCAGAAGAGCCCAAGGCAGTGAAGATAAAAATAATGATAGAAACAGAAAGAGGTGACAATACAAACTTCAGTTGAGTGGATGCACCTCAATTTGGAGAAAGAGACCCCCAAGCCTGTGTGCAGCACAAGGGATACCATTACCTAGGGCCTGACCCTGTAAATCTCGCTTCAGGCTCCTAACCCCCAGGTCTGGAGGTGAATGTGACTTTGAGCCACTGTGTTTGTGGTAATGTGTTCCAGCAGCCACAGGAAATGAATGCAGCCCTTGAATTGAGGCTGTAACCAGTTGAGAAGTGCTGAAATCTTACAACACAGACTCTATAGTGAAGAGAGAATTTCGCTTATCTCACTGAGGTTTTATGTGGCTGACATGCTAAAATGATTTCAACATTCTGGATAGATTAGATTTCTAGGAAACTTAGAAACACAACCATAGTCCATGGGAGCTTGACACCCAGCCATACTAGAGAACTCTCTCCATTGCCTTGGCCAAAAGGAACAGGCCCTCCCCTCTCCATGTGGCCTGTGGCCAGCTCTGCAGAGCCTATCATGGGGATCCCCCTACATACACACACATCCCCTACAGGTGAGGAGTCCTGGTGGTAGGTGAGTGTCCCCATCCCCTTCCCCCACTCCCATCTGCCTCTGGGCCAGCCCAGTGCCCTGTAAGATGTGACAGTTATTTTTAGCTCTCACTGGCTCAGCACAGCTGGCTCTGAAGTCTTGCTGGGTGTAATCCAGCCCCAACTGCCATCTCCCTGCCAGTGGGAGGTCTTAGGAAAGGTCTATTCAATAGTTCTGGTGTCTTTCTGGGTCTATGAGCAAGCTCCCAACCTCCCTGGCAAGGATAAGGACCAGAGTCCATGCTGTTGGATAATGGACCTGGGGTTCCTGCAGGCTCAGAGGTGGCAAGGCTGCATCTTAAAAGGAAACCATCTAACTGAGCCTTCCTTCAGCGGCATGACACTTGGAGGGAGGAAGCTGTAGGTCTACCCACTCAATGCCAGCTGTTTTGGGGTCTCACACAAGCTTCTCCAAGGGCAGAGGGGTGAGAATTTTGTGCCTTAGAAAGTCTTTTGTTTCCATTTTTTTCAATGATGGGGCTTGAACCTAGAATCCCTGGTGTACTGTTTGCCCTACCACACCCTCAGCCCTAGAAAAGTATTTAAACAAGACTAGCAAGCAACATGGAAGAGGCTCCCGTGCAAGCCCCTTTACTTGCCGAGCCATCTCACTGGCCCATAGGCAAATATGCTCATGAGTGTCCCTTTTCTGTAAAATGGGGTCACAGATGTGCTCCCTTATAGGCTTGGTGTGAGGTGAGGCAAACTAGTCTACACAAAGTTCTCAGCCCCAGGCCCTGGCTCAGGAAACGATGTGCTATAGCCATTGCTGCTACCTCACCGGACCCCCCCAGAACCAGTGTGTAGAAGAGAACACATGCAACAAAACTATATGTTTGGTTTTGTGCTGGGGATTGAATTCAGAGTCTCATGTGTGCTAAGTACATGCTCTACCACCAAGCATCACCCCCAGCCTCTCGGTAAACATAAAAAAAGGTACCTGATTTTATAATCTGCAGACTGAAGCCCAGGCTGTCTAAGGGACATGCACAAGATTATGTTTTTATATCAAGAAACTGTGAAACAAACTCAGGCTGCTACTGTACCTTTCTCTGCCCAGGCCAGCCCCATCTTAAAGCTTCCTCATCACAGCACTGCCCACCCCAGGTTAAGCCCCAGCCCCCAGCCTCCAGATGGTGCCTCCCTTGTCTCTTGCACATCACAGTAGATTCAGGAGGTGACAGTTTCACCTATGCCCTAGTTAATTTAATGGATCAACCTGGCTCTCTTGTAGTCTCCAAGTTATTCAGCAGTCCTTGGGTGTGACTGGAAAGGGATTTTGTGGATGTAATTACCGTTTATAATTGGTCAGTTTTAATTAAAGGATTATCCTAGTTGATCTGCTAGCAGGTGCTAGGAACCAAACTGAGATTTCCCTGAAGTTGTCAACTTGAGGGCTGGAGGGGCAGCTGGCCTTGCCCACTGCCTGCCCAGGGGGTACCTACTGGCCTCAGCAGACCCTGAGATCGAGTCAGTTCTTTGCAATAAGTCAACCCAAATGAGTCAGTCTAGAAGACCTATTTTACCCTCACACGATATGATTTCTAAACATGAATGTTTTTAAATGTACACAATAAATCATAGTTCAACGTAAATCAGTCTCCAACAAAGCCATTCAAATAATTATATTAAGATGCCATTTAGATATTACATAAACACTGGAGCAATTACATTCCCTAAAGCCCTGGATGGTGGGAGCAGAGAGGAGCTTAATGCTGTTGTCTTTGCTTTGTTTTCATAGGGGGCCAGTTCCAAGCCTTCTGCATCTTGGTTAC